ATTGTAACTTTACAATTTACAATTGTAGCTTTTAAAATAAAACATGATAGATTGTTTCTATAGCAGCTGATGGCCCTGCCTCTTTTGCAAATAGATAACTCATTTACCACAGTGTCATTTTACAAATTAATGTTTCATTGATTGTATTCATGCTAATATGTGGTATCTATGTGTATATATAGGCTTTTTATAATAGAATGGCATCTTATAATAACTTCACTTATTATTACATGGATTTGAATATATGGTTGAAGCACTTAATTTCAGTGAAGGACAGGATTCATTGTCTACCATTTATTTCAAGACATGCACTTTTAAAGAAATAAAATGGAGCCTCTTCCAGAGGGAATAAAGGAAAGGATAGTTTAAATTTTTTCCTTTCATCATTTCAACAATTTCTTTTTTGAAAATCATGCTATTTTCTGTTCTTTGCTATACTTTCTTCTCTCATTGCTGTTTCCATTCTACTTCCAATTTAGAGAACTGGGTCTATTAGGAGAGAAGTTAAAAGAAAAAGAGAAGCAAAATTCAAAGCCTTCCAGCCTGAAAGCAGTGGAGATGTGGCTGCATGTAAAAAATCAGCTGGGAGCTTACCAAGTACTTGTGCCAGGGCCCACCTTCCGCCGATTTGAATTATTGATCTAGGGTGGGGTCATGGTACCAATATTGTTTAAATGCTTCCTTTTAACATCTTTGATTTTACAGTTATAATAAAGGGATTTCAATGTGGAAATGGATACTGAAATTAAAAATGAATTACATGTGTATATATTATCAAATGGATCCTATGTGGAGGTGAAACAATCCAAGCCAAGATTGTTCAAGAGAACATGTCCATTTCCAAGGTCATAGATATTACTGCATTATACTTAACACTGATGAATGGCTTTTGAAGCCACTGTACCATTGCAGTCAGGTCTAATGCTGTACTGAAATGACTTGGGGTAAATAGTATCAATAGCCATATAGAAGGGAAAGGATTTCTGACTGTTGTGTGATCTCTTGCATTATAGAAGTAATCTGGTAAAATGATGATTATTTGAAAAGTATATCAGTGTTCAATTTACTTGCCAGTAATGCCAGAAATTAAATGCCCATTTAGGAACTGAATAGAGACACATTCAGTAGTGGGGAAGAGGACCAATCAAAACCTACTTTGTTCTCTGGGGTCTGCTGCCTGTCCAGATAGAATATACTGAAATATCATCCCACAGATACAGTGGGGAAACTTGAAAAAAAAGTTTTATGTGTACAGTATAGAAAAGCAGCTTTCTTGAGAGACTATAATTTAAGGGCTTGATCTTAGGAGTTCAAGTCACATGGGTTGAACTCAAAACCCTTTTGGAATACTACAGCTTTGTGGCTGGAGGCAAGTTATTGCCATGGTGCTTTGATTTCCTCCTCTGTAAAATGGGGGTGCACAATCAGGTTTTGGTAAAGATTTATTAGGAAATCTTTGTGAAGTGCCTGGCACATAGTAGATAATCAATAAGTATTATCTGTCATTTATTGTCAAGTTTGGATCACAGATGAATCAAAACCCTCAGTCCAATTATAGATCAAATATCCACAATGAAATGTGGCTATATAAGTATTTGTTTAATACTTAAAAAGTTTAGACAGAACAATAAATTTTATTTTGATTTCCTCTTGGGAAGTCATCTATCTGAGCCCTAAAATAAGAAGAAACATCCAGAAATCAAAATCTGTAAACCATAGCTAGCCTCATCAATCTATCCAGTTGCTTATGCATACATAAAAAATAACTTTAAACTGTCTATAGGGTAGACATTAATAGTTAGAATGTTGGTTTATAGTCATGTTGATTGCAACCTTTCCTTTGATTCATATAAGGAAACCATCTCCCCCACTGACTTTTATTTTTTAACTTTAAAAGATAAGAGACTTTTCAGAAAGAGTGTTTTTTCCACAGTTTCAAAGAAGCAGCCTGGAAAAAAAGAATAAATTAATTCAGAAAATATTCCCTTCTTCTCTACACCCACCCCTCTGCTCATCAAAAAAGCTACAGGCACTAAAATTCATTAACATTTCTATGAACATAAATGTGAAATATTCATTTTCATTAAGTAGTCTACTGAATATGGCAAAATCAAATTTATCTAAGGAGATATCCAATGCTGCTAATTTCCTTGACAATGAGGACATAAAACAAGAGAAGCCATGAATCATTCATGAAGTTCAATTTACTTCTGTTATTTTTGGGTGTTTAGCATCCATGAATAGCAAGTGTGCAGCATGTTGTAGATGCTATTTTTAAATTATTTTAGATTAGAATTAATGATTTGGCAGGCAGCAATAAAGTAAGAATAGTTCAAAGGCTTTGCTTGGAATTGTCCTATATTTCATATTTTTCTTGTATTTATATGTTCATGAATTCATAACATTTTTCTATATTCTAATTTCTTTTATAAATCAGGATCACTTTAGAATTAATATGCAGGCAAGCACATAAATTAATTTACTGGTGATGTAAGTAAATCGACTAAAGTAAGAGTTCTAGCTTTTGGAGCCAAAAGAGATCTTTAAGGTTATATAATTAACTAGCCTCTCAATGAGGCCATTGTCTTCTACATTAATACAAGTAGGTGGTCATTTCCAATTAATTGAAGTGTCTCTGTGGGAGAGGAAGTCTTCTTAAGCAGGCACTCACTTCATGAATGGGCAGCTCTGCTCATTAAATTCCAGATTTACCTTCCTGTAACTTCTGCCCACCTGTCTGGGCAGTTGCTGCTGTATCACCAGCACTTTTTAGCACACAGAGTCATATATGGTCACCAATTAAGAAATGCTAGATGAATAGAATGGATTAAAATCTAGCACTCTGTGTGATGGCTAATTTTATGTATCCACTTGACTGGGCCACTGGGTGCCCAGATAATTTGTCAAACATTATTCTGCAAGTTCTTGTGAGAGTGTTTGTGGATGAGGTTAGCATTTAAATCAGTAGGCTGAGTAAAGTGGGTTTCCCTCCCGAATGTGGACAAACCTCATCCAATAGATTGAGGGCAGGAATAAAGCAAAAGACTGTCTTTCCCAGAGTAAAAGAGAATTCCTCCTATCTGACTACTTTTGAACTGGGATAATCAGCTTTTTTTTTCTATTTTCAGACTCAAACTAAAAGATCGACTTTTGTTGGGTCTTAAGTCTGTTGGTCTTCAGACAGGAGCTACACTATCCCCTCTCCAGTTTGCCTACTTACTAACACTGAAGATCTGGGGATTTATCATCCTCCATAATTGCGGGAGCCAGTTCCTTAAATTAAATCTCTTTCTCCTTGTTGATTTTATTTCTCTGGAGATTCTGACTAATACAGTGAGCAACACCAAATATACAGTTTTCCTTCTACGTGATAGTGTTTAAAACATTCATAAATGCTTGTTAGGCATCCCTAAATTTTCTTCCAGATATCGTCATCTCTTACCTCTGTATGAAATTATCTTAACATGGCATTAAAAACTGGGCAAAATTACTGTGGTGATACTTGAAGGGAGGATCTTAGATTTCCAAAATACCAAAATACCAAAATACCAAGCCAATATTACCTCAATTTAAAATAAATAAATAAAAATTTTAAAAGGAACTGGGCAAAATTCTCCAGTGTAGTTCATGGACTGACCTTTGTAGATCTTCTTTGGTATCACCTCTAGAAACTATACTTATTTTGATTTTTTTTTATGAATGTTAAAGTGACACAGTATACAACTAAAACTTAGCATTTCAACAGAAAACCTCACTTTTTTTCAGGGAATTTTCCATAGTTAAGTTAGGCCATTTTATTAGGTCGACATAGTTTTCTAATCACTTGCTATTTTTGTGGGCAAAAAACAATTTTTTTTTGGAAATAATCAAACATGACTGTGGCTGACATTCTGTATGTTGTTACTAACAAGATATTTAAATGAAGCAAAGGATAATATTCTGAGACTCAAAGATAGATTGAGTGGATGCTTCATTAAGTCAAATACATTAAGACAATGCCTAAGTTTTAAGTTTTCAGATCATTTCTAAAAACAAGAAACAAGTATAAAAATAGCCAAGTATCACTGAATGCTATCTTTGATAAATAGTTATTTAATGACTCAAGTGAAACAAAAAAAAACAAAAAATTGATAGTGATTCATCACACTGACTAGCCTAACACAATTCCTAGAGAGTAATTAAAATGTTAAGTTTCTGCCTACTTGGCTGTTGGTAGATATATCTATAATCTTACATTTTTGAGGCAGTCTTAGAGCATGAATATAAAATTATACCAAGAAAGAATATTTATTGCCAGTAAAAAAAAGTCCTGCCTTAAATTTTATGTGAAAAATTAGAACAAACTAGACTTTCGAAATTCAAAAGACTTGGAAAGTTTAGAGTAAAAAACTTTAGCATACATTCACTCAACAAATCTTTATTATCAGGAACTAGGCTATGTTTTTTTTTTGAAAGATTTATTTATTTATTATTTATGCATACAAGAACTGGGGCATAGGCCAGAGGTGAGGGGTGAAAGTATTCACTAGAGACAGAGTAAGGAGCAGAACAGGTGGATCTACTGAAGTACACTGCTGAGGGGAGCAGCGGGTGAGACAGGAGAGGTCTGCTGTGCCATGTGGGTCAGCTCTCTGGCCTAGGATCAAACTCAAGTTGCAGTGGCTGGAGATAGCTTGATAGTGCTGTATCCTTAACCCCTGCGCCACCAGGGATGCCCACTAGGCTAAATTTTAACTATTGTATTATGAACCAAACACAAGTGATACTTTCCTCTGTGGTGTTTACAGTCCACAGAGGGAAGAAACAACAAACAGAGAAGCAAACAAACATTGCTAAATGGCATATAAGAAATTATCAAATTTGAAAGAAAATAACTAGGAAATTCTAATTTAGATTGAATTCTCAAGGATCCTTTTACTAGTGGTGTCATCTTAAATGAGAACTAAAAAATGGGGGGGAGTCAAAAGAACCATAATGAGGAAATGTGTTTCATTCAAAAGGAACAAGATGGTGAAGATAACGAGATGGAAGTTTGGTCTGCAAGAAACAAAGAATTCATGCTTTTGGAGTTTAATGTAATAAGCCAGGGAAAAATGGCAATGAACAAGAATGAAGATATCAAGGGACATTAGGTCACACAGGAACTTGAAGGTCAAATTAAGAAATGTAGGGAGTTTTCTTGGAGCAGTGGGAAGTCTGAATATTTTTAAGCATAGAAGTAACGTGATTTGATTTATATTTTGAAAAGATCACTCTGCTGGGTTTAGAATGAGTTGTGAGGTCTAGAGTCAGGCTTTTATGCCATTGGCCTGTGTGGCTATCACCTATGGCCTTGAATACAGAAGGTACCTGCCCCGCATGGGCGCAGGGCACAGATACCTGATTGTGGACACCTGGAGCATGGTGTGGGCATGCGTAAGTGGGCAGGCCTGAGCCTGGAGGCTGAGGATATAAGAGCAGCATCACTTAGAGACAAAATGGCCACAGCAGAATAGCTATGAGAGGAAGAGACCGCAAGAGAACACCAGAGAGAGCCCAAAGAGAAAGAGTAAATACTTACCAGGGCCTGGGAGGCCTGCTAGCCCCCTGGCCCTCCAGCCTCCTGCTTTGCCAGCCTGTGAGCTTGTCCCCCCATAAATTGGAACAGAAAGAGCATTAAAGCCTGAAAAAGCCACTGAGGGGACCAGGACTCTCCTTTTTCCATCTGCCTGCATCCATAGAGGACCTGCCCTGTGCTTGCTGGCACCATAGAAGGAGTCAACAATGAATGTAAGAAGACCAATAAAGAATGCTACAGTGGCTCAGGTAAGAATTAATAATAATTTGACTGTTAGTAAGACTGTAGAGACATGTAGCAAATAGACAAATTGACAAATATGCATATAGAATGGATGCTACTTGACAATAGATTGGATACTAGATGTGTCAAGGAGAGGAAAATATTAACATTGAATCCTAGGAATCTGAAGATTAAGGAGACTTGAAAGCAAGCTCATTTGGGAAGGAAAAATTGATAGCTAAGTTTTGAACAAATCAAATTAAAAAGCCTTTGAAACCTCAAAATAGGTATGCCAAAAAGAATTTTATGTATATCAATCTGGGGCTTAAAAGAGACCTCAACTGGAGATATAAATTTGGGGATTATTGGAATAAAGATGACATGTCAAAAGAAGTCCTTTGTGACCTTCCTGAGAACACTCTCAGTGGGGGGAGGAGATGGATAACAGGTTCTAAACTATAGTGAGTTGAGAGGAAACTGAGGCAGTAGATAAAAGATTTAAATCATTCCTTAAGTACTTTGGAGAAAAAGAAAATGGTGTGATAGAAAAAGCTCAAGGGAAGAGAGGAGGGTAGACTAGAGATACTTTATGACTAGAAGAGTTCTCAGGTTATTTTTTAGGCTGTGTGTTAAAGAGTGGTGGCAGAGAAGGTGAGATTGAGGATCTAAGAGACCAGGGGCAGAGAATTGTGTGAACCTGAGAAAAATAAGTGCTAGAGGAGGAATAAAAATATGGTATCCTGAACACACAGCCAGGTTCAGCCAACAAAGAAACAGGAACATTTCTTTCTCTGAAAAGACAGTGTGTAACTCAGAATGGTGAAAGCATAAGGATGTTTAGATGAAGACAGATGAGACCGCTGAGAGATTTCGGGTCTGAAATGGTCTCTACTATTTTTGGGTGACACTATCTGCTGATCGAGGGTAATTAGGATGAAGATATTCCTCAATTGTTTCAGAGAATGGGAAGACATTTGACTCCTCCCTGATTGCTCTCCTATGTCCTTTGCAGATCTCCATGAGGTTTGCAGTTATCAAACCTCCTCATGGTAGTTTTATTGATTTCAAATTCAAACCCTTTTAATACTAAATTCCTTGATTGATTTTTCTATGTGCCATTAACTCATTTTATAGCATCCTAGGGCTATGAAGCTATTAATCTACTCCAAGTTCAAGTATATTTTCAATTTAACAAAGTTTTATGGTCTTTCCAATTCACTTGATTAGATGACATTAAAGACAAGCAAAACATCTTTAATTTGTCTCCAAGACCTTAAGCAATGAAAATATTTTTCTGTACATTGGATTGTCACGGAAGAGAGTACCAATGAGGATGTTCTGTAAGATAGGTAAAGTTGTTGATCACAAAAGTATGAGTGGGTTAATCTTACAATGGTGGAATATCTACTTATGTCCTAGCTCATACCAGTCTTTAATTTCTAATCACTTTAAAGCTCAGTTATAGATCTCAGAATTGTCAATTTGAGTCGTTTCAGCAAATAACATGTATATTTCTTTGTGAAGAGGTAAAAAATAGATGAATAACATACTCAGTGTTCGTTAATGTTGGCAAGAGATCAATTACATACTTAGGTGGGAACAAGCAAAGCTCATATGAACCCTATATTATTGCCATTTGTTATACTGTTGCTTGAAGTTGTTACAGGTAAGTTTTTAAATGTTTCCATGGGTGTATCTGTTTTAAGGTGTTCTACAAGATCCCAGGCACCAACTTGGGGCCACCCTGAGAATCTCTATAAGCTTTTTCCTTCTGAGCTTTCTCTGGTGTTCTCTTGTGATGATCTTTTCCTCTCGCATCTCTCACTGATGCTCTCGTAGCCATTCGCAGCTGCCATTCTGTGTGACACCGCCCTTAATAGCCTCAGCCTCCAGGCTCAGGCAGGCCCACATACAAATGCCCACACCATACTCCACCATCAGGCATGCATGTCCCAAGTGCTTCCCACATTCAAGGCCACAGGTGATAGCCACAAAGGCCAACAGCGCAAAAGTCTGACTACAACTCACCCTACAGAAGGGATACATTTGCATTGCACAGTTGCACTCATTTGACTCTCGACCTGAACATTAAGTTCTTCTGGTATCTAGTCTAACCTTATTAGGGACAATTTTGTGAAATACAGACCAGTCTTTGGTTGAGTCAGCATCATCAAACTCAATCTTGATGAGAGTAGTCCTAATAGGTGCTTTAGTTCTAATCAATGATGCTCTACTCCTTTGCTCAATTCTTGATTGCAGGATTCTATGATGGAGAACAGATTGCATAGATTCTAATACCCACTTTACCATTATCCTCGCCCTGTAATCTTGGGCAAATTGTTTTATTCCTCTAAGCCTCAGATACATCACCTCTCAAATAATGTTAGAAAGTCTCATGTTACCGAGGCATTATATTAATGCTTAGCTTTGGTCTGGCAAGTAGAAGACAGTTCTGTTTTTTTTTACTCTTTCATCCAACTTATACCTTCAGGGACAACTCATTATGCAAATCTTCACAGGTCAGTTACTGCTTTGCTCTAGGCAAATATTTTAGGGACTAGAGTTCTGTGGCGGGATGTTGGATCACTTAGCTGATGTTCACTGTGTGTCTGAATCTTGACATAGATACAAGCTGATTTTAATGTCCTAGTTGCTAAGCATTATTCATATGTTCAAATGCTGAATCATTTCAGTGATCATCATGTGCCCAAGTCCTCACCTATTTTATGCAATTTCATGATGACTTTGGGCTATCTATTTGTGCTTCCCCAGCCCTGCCTCACAAAAATTGTTTAATTTCTGCCTCATCTGTAGTTTTGATTTTGGTTATTATCTGATAGGAAAACGGGATTTAAGTCATCTGTTCCTAAACACGAGTAAAGACAATCACCTAATTAAAGAAAACTCAACCTATAATAACAGGAAAACACACTGTGCATTATAAAGTAAAGTATGCATTTTAAGAGGAAATGCTGGTAATTTCCATACTTGCAATACATAATCAAAGTACTTGTCAAAATTTATTGCTTCTTTAAGTGAAAAATGTAAGTCTTAAGATCTTGGAATTTAGAGAAGTGGTCATATCCTAATGTTCTTCAAGCAGAAGCGAAGGTAAAAAAATCACAATCAATGGAAAAGTCAAGTAAAAGGCAATCCATATGAATGAACAACCCATGTATTATTCTCTTTGCAGGTCCATACCAAAAGCTAATGGCTTTGATTAGCTAAAGTTGTGCTTTACTTAGAAAACATGATCAGCTATCAATAAATGATTGGCCTCATACTTTATTTCTATGGCTTGAATTTGGTTATCATTGTTATTTAAACAAAAAGTCACCATTAATAATGTCAACCAAAATATTAACATGTTTCAACCAACTTACCTATATAATTTAAGTTAGAATATTAATGAATAGCTCGTGAATTTTCTTCATTCCAGGTTTAGTCATAGGAAATCAGTGTCTATGTCTAACTATGTATCTATATGTGTATAAGCCTCTATTTGTTTGTCTAGATTCAGTGAAATTAGAGAATATTCTTCAGTAATACTAAGGGGTCACCTAGGATTTTCACATTTTCCTTTACTGTTCTGATACTTGGATATGGAAACTGTTTTAGATTTAAATACGTGTCTACTTTTCCTATTACATTCAGTGGCATTTGTAATGCTCTGAATTAGCTACTGCATTTTTCTGTGCCCCTGAAAACCAGAAAAATAGGTCTAGGATTGATATTCACAATAAATGTACTCAAATATCTGCATGTTGATGCACAAAAACAATGAAACACAGACAACCATATTTAATCTTAGAGGCTAAAGAATTGTAGCTGTTAAGAAAGCAACTAAAGAGGACACATCAAAACCAGTTATTAGATCTGAAAATGCATCAAGTCTTTGGTGCACAGCACAAATCTCATGAAAATTATTCAACATATTCTTTACATGGAGAAAGATAAATGCACACAAGACTCTACCATCGTGTTTTTCTAAAAGACAACAATATACAATACTTCAGATGGACAAATCTCAGAAAGTCTCTTCATCTGTAAATTTTGTCCTCTCTTATAAATGCAGTGTGGTTATTAGAAAAGTAGTGGAGAAACTCCACTCTGAAAAGTAGAAACTTTAAATTCACAAATTTTTCAACTATAATATGTGGATTTTCCCTATTGGTTTGAAGATAACTGCATTGAATTGATCCCTCAGCCACCAATATAAGGGCAAATATTGATAGGCTTAACTCTTTGAAAAATTGGCAAGGTACTATAGTTAAAAATATCCTACCAATTACCCATCATGAGGTTGAATATAATTGGGTTAAGCAAATACCCCTTTTCTCAGTTTTAGTAACTCACAACTTTCAATCTCCAGGGTACAATTTTGCTCATCCAGAGGATATCTCCGTAGGTCCATCATACATGCAGCTGTGGTGGTGATTCTGTTAGGTGAAAGAGAAAAGACAGCATCAAAAAAATATCTCATTTCCAGGCTTTCTAGCCCTGAATCATGTTTACCATTTGGCATCAAATTTTGTGATTAAAAATTTTGAAGACAGATGGATTGAGTTTAAATCAGTCTTTGCTGTTCACCAGTGGTGTGATCTGTGCTTGTTAATTTATACCCATGAGCTTCAGTCCCCTATCAATCAAAACTCTGCGTAGGATGTCCCAATGTCTTACTTAGTAAATGCCCTTCAAATAATGGTCATTTGTATTGTATTTTTCCATGATCTTTCCTATCTTTACTAGCTTTCTAGGAATGTCTCTGCCAATATCTGCAGCAAGTCCAGCTTTGAATAGGAGGATATCTAAATTATCAAAGCCTACCTTCTCCTGCTGCTTCCTAATAAGACAACAGCAAAATTACAAACCTTACCCTTTATGACTTTTTGATGGCCCACCTGTACGCAATAGCCTATAACAGTAAAAAAGCACTGTTTTAAGACTGGTGTTCACACCATTTTTATTAGCTCCGAGATTGTGCTTAGGCAACCCCCAGGGCCTAGATTGTAGATGCCCTACCTGGGTTTCCATTATTTTCTCTTGCCTTGGAGATTTCCTGAATTAGAGTCTGAGAGTAACTTAAATACATGTGACTAATCCACTCTTACAAATTTTTATATCATTTTGGACAAAGCTTTTCTCTTAAAAAAATCACATGATCCTCTTTCACTTAGTTATGTGTAATCACAATGTAAAGAATACAAAATTCATATTTACTATTTCCTCTCTGTCTTAATCCCTAGGAGTTACAACACTAAATTCTCTACAGATACTGTGTGCATAGCACAGTTATGTCTTTCTAGGAGGGATTGTCTTAAATAGCAGCCTACCACATACTCTCTTCTGAACCTTGTTGGTTTCCATTAGCAATGCCCCTTGGATTTGGATCTATTATAAGCTGTCTTACACTTGTTTTTTACTACAATGTATTCAGATATATGTACATACCAAAATCTGTTTTCCTGATCACCTTTGGTGGGCATTTGTTGTTTCCTATCTTTTACATTTACAAATGAAGACTGAATATATTGGTACACTCTGGTATGTCTGATTCCATTGGTTAGGTATGTCTAGAAAGGGAATTGTTAAAGGAAGGTATGAGCATTTAAAATTTCCCCAAATTGATGTTTGTAAAGGTTTTACACCACCATCACTAGTGTACATAACTTTGACAAAGTTTGACTTTTCATATCTGTTTTTGAGGCCACTAATATGAGTTATTGTTTCAGCATCTTCTTGGAAACAGCGTTAGAAAACACTAATTCTTTCCAATTCTCTCTGGCTTTCCTTATGAAATATGAAAATGATGAACATTTAGACATTTAATTTGAAGTTTTTCTTAGGATGTTGGTCATTTAATCAGATTTATCTGAGTATTAGGTGACAGTAAAAGAAGTTTTAAAGTTTATTTTTTTAATTGACACTATAACATTGTTTCAGGGGTTTCTTTATAAATGAACATCTGTATAACTACATTAAGTTCACCATTAGAAGTTCAGTTCTATCGTTTACCACACAATTGGTAAATTTACTCACCCCTCCCTTTTCTCCTTCCCTGCTGATATCCACTAATTGGGTCTCATAGTCTGAAAGTTAACTTTTGTTTGCTTTAGTTCATTTATTTTTTCTCTATATGCCATATTTTGATTATCAAGTAAAATTTTTCAGTGTTTTATAAACAATTTGACTATTTGTATTTAGTACATAAAAGGATTTTACTAGATTCCTCCTTGCTTCCATATCCCATAATCATTAATTTTTCAATTAACAACATATCATAAATATCTTTTGTTGTCTGAAAGTATAATTCCACAATAGGACTTTGTTGACCTAACTTGTATTTCAGACTCTCAATAAATCAACACTATAAATATACAAAAATGCTTTAAAAATTATCTGTCTACTTTACAACATTCCTTAACAGCTACTTTATGAATTAAAGAAATGTAAAGATTCTCCAGCAATTGCTAAAGTGTGGCCAGAGCAATGATCCTATGCTTAGTCATGCTTCTCAATCAGGGATAAATTTTCCCTACAGGGGGCATTTGACAATATCTGGGCATATTTTTGAATGTCAGATTGGGTGGAGGCCAGGTATGCTGCTAAATATCCTATAATGTCTAAGACAGCACTCAATAACAAAGAATTTTTTGTTAAAAATATCAGTAGTAACAAGGTTGAGAAACCCTGCTATAATGCTGGTTTTCAAACATTTTTCCTGTGAGGAAGCCTTTTATAGAGCCTTAATATATAAAATACAGGAGAAATAAGTGAAAGCCATATTTTGTTAATATAAAATTACCCTACAAGTTTAAATATTGACATCTATTTTAATGAACATACTTTGAAAGCAAGGATTATGAGAATTAAATCATTTTAAGCAACAATTATTTTAGTATTGCATTCTACTTGTATATAGTATTGAGAAAATCCTAATAGTGAAGCCTTTCTAAAATCTACATAACTGAATGTGGAATACCCTGAACTGGGCAAGGTAGTAGGGGAAGGAACCCTGAATGCCAAGTACCCACTTCTATAATCAATGTTTCAGATGTTTCATAGGTGATTGTTGCCACCTGATAGATTAGAAGGAAGCTCTACTTGGTACTCCAAGCTTCGCGTAAGTTAACTTAGTGCCCAAGTTATTATTATGGTATTCTTGAATGTTATGATGTGGCATAGGACACTTTATAGTGTACTTGCTTCTTATTATAGTTTAAAATACTAATTTTTTAAAATTTTTTTGAATACTTAACAAAATAATTTATTTGGTTGAGTTAAAATGTAATATGGGTGCGCAGACCTCTCCTGCCACGCCCGCTGCTCCCCTCAGCAGTGTATTTCGTCGGTCTGTCTGTTCTGTTCCCCGCTCTGACTCTGGTGAATTCTCTCACCCTCCCGTGCTTTTGACTGTACCCAGTGCTTGTATAAATAAATAAATCTTAAAAAAAATTTAAGAAAAAATATAATATGAATTACTTCCATATGGCTCTATAATTTTTTAAAATATTTTATTTTATATAAACAACTATAAACCAGAAGCATACTATGGGGGGTGGGGAGAGGAAGTATTAGGGTCAAAATAAGAGGGGGTGCAAATGTATGGGTAATATAACCAAAATGAAAATGCATACCATGTGCAAAAATGAAAAATGATATAAGAATTATATAAACTAAAATACTAATATTTTAAGTAAAATTGGAATAGGACATGCGTAGAACTGTAAGTTTTAGAGATACTTGAGAACATCACTTGAGCTCAACTGGTTTCACTTATTTGGCCTCATTTGAGATCTGCTATCTGGCTTGTTAACCATATCATATCAAAATCAAGACATACATGAAAATCTTGTGCTGAACTACTGGTTCATACATTGTAAAACTCAGCAGTTTTTGCAAAGCAATTTGAAAAACCAACAAATCATTTTAAAATGAGTAACATCTCATGTGTTTAGGTAGTAAACCTAGTTGATAGCCCTTGGGAAACCACATCACAATAGAGTCTTGCCCAAGACCTGAACCAGTTTACTTTTGCACCAGATCCCACTGTGATAGGCAAGCAAGTTGGGTAATCACAACTCAAAAAGGGAGGGAATGAGGCCAAATCCAAAACTTGAACTGTGGGACGTGTCTGATTTTTCTCTTCAGCACACTGACATTAGCAAACCAGCTTCCTTCTTGGGATCTAGCTGTTCTAAATTTCAAATTCTCAAGATGATTTCATTGGATGATTTAATTTGGATCCAATGTCAACTCTCCCATAAGGGATGGAGGAAAGCCACAGAAATATACATATAATCACCAGGGACCCACAAATGTCTCTTATCTGAGCAGGAAAGGGTCACTGAGACCCAGACAGGCACTTTTTCACAAGCAGATACTTGTAAATCCATATTGACCTGTATGAATTTATTCAACAATGTCACTTTCCCCTAATTTAGAACTTAGCATTTGTAGATTTTGTAACACCAATATCTAAGTGAGCTGGGTGCCCTGAGCTCTTTATGAGGAAAAAAAAAAAAATTGCTCAATAAGTATTTCTAGGATCACCAACAAAAAGAGAGGTCCCTGGGCAGAGTGCTGTTCAGCTCTTCTGTCCTCTTGTATGAAGCAACAATGAACATCTCTAAGAAAACTCACTATGTTCCAATTTTTCATCTTGGCTAATGTAATTGCTCAGCAGTAGTTAGTCCCCTCTACAATTAATTAATGTATCCACATGAAATTATCTCACACAGTGGCTGAAGGAACCTTATATTCTAAATCTCCCATGGAAACCAAAAGTGTCAAAGATCAGAAAACTGGATGGGTTAAGGGCTTTAAGATTGGATTAGTTTTTAGATTTTGTTAACTTTTCACACCCAAGTTATTCTGCGTGTGTCGTGATGTAACTATTGGCTGTTTGCAAATGAAAGCACAACAGATTAGAACTAGCTAAAGGCAAAAAAAAATTAACTGTTTTTTCTGAACATAGACTTCCCAGAGGTACAGATTCATGACAGCAGAACATTCATCCATCTTTTAAAGATATTTAGGATGAGTAATGTTATAATCCAATTTATTGACATTTTGAAGGTTAGGTCAGAACACTATAATAGGCTGTTAGTTAGAAACGTATAGTCCCATGATACCAGAATGAATGAAAATCATGTTGCTGTGGTATTCATTTTTTAAGGTATATGCTGCATGGTCACTGACCTTAAGAGTCACTGTAATTGCAAATCATGTATATTTGATGTCTAAGGGTATTGTGACTCTTTGCTGACAATACACAATCCAGGAAGTTCTAGAGAATAAGTAGCTACACACACACACAAACACACAGGGAGATGACATTTTGCAAATAAGAATGTGAACTTAAAGGAACAAATTATGTACATATGTTTGAGATTTTCCTATACACTTCAATTTCATAGGGAAGAGCTTGTATTTTAAA